GTTCCCATTTAAAAATCATACAGTATCGTTAGCAAAAGTAATAATTATGGTAGATGAGAGCTATCCACAGTTCAGATCAACAAATGTTCAAAAATCACGAGTCAGACCCCCCTCAAAATCATTGGATGTCTTCTCAAATCATGAGAGTTCATTTTAAAGACAATATTATATTTTTTTTGTTTGTCTTCACATTTTTAAACTCCCCTTATCTATCCCCAGTGTGCGCGTGTGAAAATTAGTGTTGCCAACACACCTGAGTGTACCGAGTAACATGATTCTGGCTCTGACTGCTACCTGTTGGCAGTGGCGTAGCCAGCTTCTCAGTGCAGCGGGAGCAACCATAAATAAGGCGCACCCCCCTTGGCTCCTCCTCTGGCCACGCCCTTCCTTGGCTCCTCCTCCGGCCGCTCCTCGCCCCTCCCCCCCTTGGCTCCTCCGGCCACGCTGCGGCCATGCTGCGCCCCCCCTTGGAGGGGCTCGGAGGGGAGGGGCCGGGCACGGGGGAAGGGGTGGCGGACGGGCGCTGCTCGCTTCTCCTGGGGGCTGGGGGGAGCGGAGCAGTGGGGCGGGCAGCAGCTGGCGGGCAGATCCCCTCTCCCCGGCAGCTTCCTGGTTCCCTCGCCCGGGCAGCCCAGCAATTTTTTAAAAAGCGGAGCCTGCCGGGCCGCCGCTGGGCTCCTGCAGGCGGAGCCGGGGGCAGCACGTCTGGACTCCGGAGGAGCCATTGGGGGGGGGGCGGCGGCGGGCGCGGCCGGAGGAGCGAAGCGGGTGGGCTCCTCAGCCATCACGCCCCACGCTCAGCGCGGCCGCCTCCTGCGGTGGCTCAGGGCTCGGCGGCCGAGCGCTCTGCAACTGGCGGGCAGATCCCCTCTCCCCGGCAGCTTCCTCCATGAACTTATCTAGTTCTTTTTTTGAACCCAGTTATAGTTTTGGCCTTCACAACATCCCCCAGCAACAGGTTAACTGTGCATTGTGTGAAGACGTACTTCCTTTTGTTTGTTTGATTCCAGCTTCTCCCCAAACCCTACATTTCTAATTAATTCTGTGACCCGCAATTGCCCATCCCACAACCCAGAAATTAATTATGCAAACACCCACATCAACTTTGCCCCTCCCCCAGCTCAGCAATCAATTCTGCCCACCCCTCAGCCCCACATCTGCCCTCATCCCCCACCTCTGCTCCACTTGCAGCTCTGGGGTCCGTCACTCCCCTCTCCTCCCCTTTCCCATGCCTGGTGCTGGAGGGATGAAGCGGTGAGGGGGGAGGAGCAGGGGGAAGACTACCTCGTTTTTCACAGGAAAGGAGGAGGAAGAAGGGGGTGGAGCCACCCTGAGCTGGGGGCTCTTTCTTGCCCCCTTCCCTCCTGTGAGAATGGTGTCAACTCCTGAGGGGTGGGTGCAGAGTTCCACATACAGCAGCTCTGACTGGCTGCTCTTCCCCTGGAGACGGGGTAGTGGGCAACCATCTGGCATCATTTCATACAAATCTATGTAATTTAATCTTAGTTGTTTCCCCCAGTGAGAGCTCCTGCAACAGGGCCGGGAATCACTTTACTGTACATTTGGGAGAGGTGACAACATTGTAATTACCCTGCACACGAGGCGGAGGGAGAGGGGGAGTTCAAAACTCAAAAGGCAGACCAAAAATCACGAGATACTCTGGGCTTTTTTTAAAAAAATCTCATGATGTTGGAGCCAATCTTGTGATTTTGGGGCGTCTGACTCACGATTCTGAATTTTGGGGGTTGGCAATATTGGGAACTTCCACATCTTGTGCTGCTTGTGCCAGGCCCAATAATAGTTGCAGGCCCTGAGCTGGAAGGAGAGGGCAGCAACTGTTGTTCCATGCACCCTCAACACAGAAGTCATCCCCAGTGGCAGGGCCGGCTCTGGCTTTTTTGCCGCCCCAGGCCGTCCCACCCCCCCCCCCGCCGCCCCGGGGGGGGCCTCCGCTCCCCCCCCGGCAGCCGGGGGGAGGGCGCCGGAGGGGAGGGCGGCCGGAGCCCTGGGAGGAGGGCGGCGAGCCCCGGCGGGGGCTCGGCTCTCCCCCCGGCGGCGGCCAGAGCGCCGGGGGCAGGGCGGAGAGCCCCGGTGGGGGCTCGGCTCTCCCCCGCCCCCCCGGTGGCCAGAGCGCCAGGGGCAGGGCGGCGAGCCCCGGCTGGGGCTCGGCTCTTTCCCCGGCGGCCAGAGCGCCGGGGGCAGGGCGGCGAGCCCCGGCGGGGGCTCGGCTCTCCCGGCGGCCAGAGCGCCGGGGGCAGGGCGGCGAGCCCGGCTGTGGCCCCGCTCTCCCCGGCGGCCGGAGCGCCGCGCCGCCCCCCTCCAGGTGTCGCCCCAAGCACCAGCTTGGGTGCCTGGTGCCTGGAGCCGGCCCTGCCCAGTGGGGCTGAACTGTGGCTCCCTCATTCAAACTGGCTCCCAGAGCGGGCTGGGTGCACTGTGAGAAACAAGCTCCACCCCATTCTAAAGAGTGCATGCGCCCCTGGAAACCAGGCAGCCGAGTGAGGGAGCATCCCGCCCTGAGCCACAAGACTCCCAGCTATGTTGTGTGAGTGAAGTAGTGGGCTTGTGGTTGTTACCAGTCCCCAGGGGCCTTTTCCACTCTGTCATATCAAAGCAGTTAATTTTGTTTCATGTTTGTTTATTCGGGGAGCAGATTGAGCATGGACAGGACCGGCTCTAGGCACCAGCAAACCAAGCACGTGCTTGGGGCGGCACAATTTCAGGGGCGGCACAATTTCAGGGGTGGCATTCTGGCCCCTTTTTTTTTTTGCTTCGGCAGTTGTGCTCTCGGAGGTTTTTTTTTTTTTTTTTTTTGCTTGGGGCGGCAAAAAACCTAGAGCCAGCCCTGAGCATGGAAAGGGAATTTGGTCTCCTTTTACCACAGTGAGCCTAGCTCAGGCATTCATTCAATGCACACAACAGAAAGAAATAAAACAGGAAAAATCCTTGAGCCAATGGAATGGGAGAGTTTGGCTTAAATATTTGTATTAAAATTATTTTTGCTTTTTAAACAAATTTGTCAAATGCTCTTAGGAGCAGAAGAGAGCAGAGAGACGAAAAGGAAACTTGTGTGTCACTGATGCTTTCTTTATGCACATGCTGTCCACAGGCTGCAGTAGGGACATGCGTCCTCAAGCATGCTTTGTGCTCTCACTTACCTTTCCTACAGTGATATCTGGCTGACAAATTCTGGTCTTTTTCCATCAGTTCTCTTTCACAGTGGATCAAGGCTACTTATGCTGTTTTAGACCCTGATTCAGCAAAGCACTTAACCATGTGCTTAATTTTAATCATGTGACTAGTGCCATTGTTAATATAATTATATAACATATTTGCAGATTAAAGCAACCTTTTGCCCACTGTGGCTAAACAAAGCCTCTTCAAATTTAAAATTTAGCAAAACTCTGGCTAAAGCGTCTCTCTTCCCATCCCTCTGTCCCGCTCAAAAAGACTGATTTGGGGTGGAGCAGCTCAGTATCACTCTCAACACAGACAAGTGCTTTAAAAAACCCTATTTGGCTCACCATACATAACTGCCCAACTGAAATGACCAGATGATGGCAAAGTACAACTCTTAGCACCTCCCTAGTCAGCACATCTGCTCCCTGTTTGTACTCAGTCAGATCTGCTGACTTTAGTGACAGGTAAGTTTCACTCTTTTTCACTCCTGTCAATTTTACAGATGCTATAAAACAATGGGAGAGTAAGCTGTTACTGGCTGTCTCATGCTTCATCAGTAGAGTTGTTAACTAAGTTCCAAGTGCAGGGTCACCTGGACAACCGCATTGCCTTACAGTCTGCCTTCAGCTAAACCTGTGCACAGAAAGCAACAGGCTTGGACAGGTGGCGGGGCAGGGTGATCTAGACAATAGAACATTGGACTAAGACTTAGACGACGAGATTGTTTCTGCCATTGGCCAGCTAAGTGAACTTAGACAAGTCATTTCACCTCCCTGTGCATCAGTTTCCCCATCTGTTAAATGAGGATAATACTGATATCTTCGGTAAAAAGCTTTGAGATTGACGAAAACGTGCTATATAAGAGCTAGACCTTATTATTGTTATTTATTAATGGTAATGATGCATTAGGTAGAAAGAATTCAGCTTGACTCTCAGATCCCAGTTTGAGTTTGCAAGACTAGCAGTTAGAAGAAACATCTTTCTCTTGTAAGAGGAGTAAATGTAACATGGACACACTAAACATGGAATCCCTCAATAACATTTTTACAATAGAATCATACTTCAACTATTTTCAGAATTTATTTTAGTTTCTAACAATGTAAATATCAGGATGACTTGGTTAATAGAAATGGTAATAATTTGTTAATTAAGCAGTATTATCCTGAGGCTAAGAAGAGTTCAGTGTGTATTCTTACCATTAACTATCGAGCATGGAGAAGGTTGCCGTTGAAAACTAAATTAAAAAAACTTTTGACTGCGTTTTCATGAAATCTCCCCCCGGAGTTTCAGCCAATGGTGAAGCTGGCTGACATTTTCTGATATTGAAAAAAAGGGAGGGGGACAAATGTAAAGAAAAACTGTCAAAACTTCTTCCTTGTTTTCCTAACCAGCTCTAAGTATGAGTCTTTGAAACATCTGTAAACTGCAATATTGACAGTCCCAATCATTCAAAAACCTTGAGACAGAGCCCAAAATATCATGAGTCTGAATAAAAAATCACGAATAAGAAATTCTAGATTTTTGGTTTAGTTTTTTCATGTTTTGGGGGTTTTTTTCCTTCTGAGATTTTTAGCTTTCAGGTCACATTTTCTAGCTTTTTCTCTGCAATCACAAGGGTGAGAAACTTAGTTTTGTTTTGTTTTTTTCAAGTAAAATCCAAGATTCTCATGTGATTCTAGCATCCAGAGATTAAGAACAACACAAAATATTGCAAAAGTTGGAAACACTGAAACGACAAATGCATTGGATCCATGTAGGCTCACCACAATCTTGTTTCTTTCTCCTAAAACAGTTGAAGCGACTGGAAGTAGGTTTCCAAAATGCCATGGTTCCATCAGCATGTGCCTGTTAAATTGAGTGCAGGATTTCTATGCCTCCTTCTCGTATGGAACTTGGGTAAGTGTGAAGTGTGTCTGAAACGCCACTTTCACTCACAATTTATTCTGAGACATGATAAAGTAATTTCCCCAGCACGTGCACTTTGATATTGCCCTGGGAACATCCAAAATGTTTTTCCCATCCATCACTCTCAAAGCCAAAAGGACACGCCAACCTGCTTTCACCTAAGGGAGATACAAAATACAGGCTCAGGCCAGCGTTCCTGATTCTCCACTTCCTTAGGTAGTTAAAATGCTATTACTGGCTGAAATTTTGTGGCATCACCACCTAGACAGGGTGGGGTGACAAGTCCCACCTGCCCAAATGGGCCATCACTGAGACATATTGGCCCCAGTGACTAAGTTTTACCCCAAGTCCATAAAGCATAATTTCAATATAAATACATTATTCCTTAAATATTACCCATGCAGGCATCTCACACTGATTGTGAATCTTGACAAGTTATGAGCTCTCTGTAGAGATGTTATATATTCCTCTTTATGGATAAATAGATGTGTGTAAGATATGTGTTTGGTGTAGTGCATTTTCAGGTCTGAGGAGAGATGTTTGCAAAGAATGAGACCTTTTACCTAACAGCCTCTGTGTCACAGAGGTGTTAGAACTAATTAACATACCAGAGAGGCCAGCAATTGATGGGACTCACAATGAACCATCTTCTTGAGCCTGCCAGTGTAGCCCATGCCCACTTGGTGTGGTGCTCTGTCCCCTTCTAGTGGCACCTAGACCATCTAGAGATTGATGAGCCTGTCACAGCATTGGCTTAGAAGAATCTGCCTTTTAGCTCATGCAGTAGAGGCTCATACACTAAGCTTCAGAGGTCCCAGGTTCGATCCTGCCTGCCGACAAGTCATTGCTGTTACACCAGGATTAAGGTAGAGAGGTATGTTGCCCTGAGAAGTTTGCATTGATGCTGTCTGGGCCACATGATCTGCAAATAAATGGAAGACCTCATTCCCCAGCACTGTTGAGCCTATCTCTTCAACATTACCATTCTTAAGTATTATTTGTGTTATGGTTGTTTCTAGTGGCTCCAGCTAAGACCAGGGGCTCACTGTACTGGGCCTGGTTCAAACACAGGAGAAGAGACAGTCCCTGCCTTGAAGAGTTTATAAGGCAAACAAAGGGAGTATTATTATTCTCGTTTCACAGACAGGGAACTGAGGCACAGAGAGATTAAGTGATTTGCCCGAGGTAACACAAGACAGTGCCAGGAATTGATTTCTGGAATCCCAGCCCAGCACCTTAGCTGTACGACTACCCAGAAGAAGCAGTAACATATCAAATAGCAAGCTTTGACTAATCAGCATGCGTGTAGCGGTCACCGTTTTCAGGATGGCATGCCGCATCATCCTTTGCATCTTATGGGTAATGGTGCTTGCAAACCTGGCACTCAATCTCTATAACACTTTGTGGCTCTCTTCTTCCTTTGATTCCTGTTAAAGGAAGTTACTCACTTGTATTAAGGGCCTGCTCCTGTACCACTGAAATTGAAGGGTGTTATGCTATTGACTTCACTGAAAGCAAGCTCAGGCCGGAGGCGGGGCGGGGCAGGAGGCGGGGGCAGGGGAGAGAAAAGCTAATTTCTTAACCTTTGTTCCTTTAAAAGCTAGGTCATTTTAGGGTCAGATTCTTCCTTGTTGGTATGTACACGCTCTGCTGCCATTATAGAAATAACGTGTGGCTCTGAATGATGGACTAGTTCGCAATACTATTGTCCAACCATTTCACAGCCATCACAGCTGGCAACAGAGAAACCCCTGGAGATTCCTGGTTGGTCATTTGAGTGGGAAAGTCATTTCTCAGATTCCACTTTCTCCATTTTACAGCTGCAGGCATAAAAGGAGAAAATAAGAAGGAGAAGAGTGTGCCAGTGCTGGCTACTGCAGGTAAGGCCTGGCACATGGCTTCAGAAGTTACTCTGATTGTGTGGGGTTAAGTTTGAGTCAGAAGTACGGTAGCTAGCCCAATGGGCGCTGCTTGGTGAGTGGACTCCTGTTCAGTAATTTCCACTCAGGAACGGCAGCCAGGCAAACCCTTCCACAGCCACTGTTCCCTACAGCTACCCCCCTAGAAACAACCGCACCCCATTCCTGATGCCTAATTCCCCTGAAACCCTGGAAAGGGACTCAGCAGCCATCTCCCTGTTTATCATGCAAACTGAAGACCACTCTCCTGCTGCTTCCTATGATATCCATCTTTCCATGAGCATCCCTCCTGCCAACTGTTGGTTCCCTTGGACGCTCTCATTCTCATCCTAACATGTACCCAAACCGGACACCGCTTCCAGTGGCTGGCGCCTTCCTGACACGGGCTGCAACTCCATTTACGTTCCAGAAACCATCCTGCTAACCTTTGATGGGTTCTTAGTGAGGAGGAGGAGTGGTTTGGTTTCTATAGCACATTGTGTGGCTTCTATGTCTCTTCCTGGCTCCTAGTTGCACTGTATGTACTGCAGCTTTCCCGTTGTTCTAAATACCCAAGTTAGGTGAGTTGGGTTTTTCATTTCCACTTGTCAGAGAACATGTTTGTAACATGTTGGTTCAGAGCTGGTCAAAAATGGTAAGACATTGTCATAGAATATTTTCCCCTGCCCAACACTGATTTTTTTCCTGGCTTGGGTTTGTCATAGAATATGAGGGTTGGAAGGGACCTCAGGAAGCCATCTAGTCCAACCCCCTGCTCAAAGCAGGACTAATCCCCAGACAGATTTTTTTTTTGCCCCAGATGGCTCCCAAAGGATTGAACTCTTAACCCTGGGTTTAGTAGGCCAATGCTCAAACCACTGAGCTATCTCTCCCCTGCTCAGTCATGCCCTCCTCGCCCCCTGCCCTGTCGCTTTGTTTTTAATTGCCATGTTTGAACTAAACAAAACATTTTCTACAAAATTGTCTGTTAGAAAAAAGCCCTAGCAATTTCTGATCAGAAAATGTTCTCAAATTTTAAAAAATTGACCAGCTCTAGTTAGGTTATTCTCCTCGGCCAATCAGGGCATCTCATTAAAATAGCTGAATCTTCATTCCAATTCTATGCAACATGCACAGGTGGAAATTTAAGAGAAAACTTCTTCCAGATGAGTGTGGTTTATAAATCGGCACTTTAATGAAAATGTGCGTTGCCCCCTAAGGGACTCTAACATCCTAGGATTTTACTGAATAATATGGCATCCACAGCAGAGCACTGAGGAACACTGTCAAAAGTGCCTTTTAATTAGTGAATGCATATACAGTGCCCTGTCTTCATTTTGAAGTAGCACTGCCCCTGCTGTTCTCACCTGATTCTAGTATCAGCTATTGCATTGCTCTCATGGTATATTTAGCTTCTCAGAGTCACCAGACATTGTTTCTAGCCCTAATATGCAATTTGATGTTTTCATTTTCCCACAGATGGTAGCGTCTCACTGAATCACTTTATCCAAGTCATTTAGAGGAATATATACACAGCACATTGACAGGTTCCTAGCACTGTCTGATGTTCAGAAATGCTGCTTCTTTTTCAGAGCTGCCTGCCAAATCCGTTGATCTGGCTGCGATTAACCTGACTGAACTAGTGAACGGAATGTTAAATACAGCTCTCAAAGGTAACATTGTTGTGCTACAAAAGGATGTGAAACATGTTGTGGACTGTCAGCACCACATAAGTTGAAATATGGAGCTAAAGGAGTTAAGGGACAAAGCTGTAAAAATACAGTATGGTATACTGCTGTATTTGGATGAGTTGCTGTAACATGGTGTGTGTGGGTGTGTGTGCGTAATTATTAACAAGGTGTCTTTAGAGTGATCTCTTTGATCCACATTTATTGTATTGCCCTTTCATTCCTCCCAAACCACCATCTATTTTTGTACTGTTTTGTTTGCTTAAAATTAAAAATGGTGATTTAAAATTATTTCTGCTAGATCGCAATGAAAACAAAATTCAAATGCATCTGTCTACTGTCTTTGTATGGTGTGCTTTAGAAATAAAATCATGCCACTGTTATATCAGACTCAATAGCTGGGTTACAAATAACCCATCCAAGTCATTAATAGACATGTGCACATTTTTCTGCAGGTACCAAAAAATTCTTCTCTTTGCTGAGCATTACCTCTTACAGCTCGTTTGCCTTCCACAAAGTTTCGGTCGCCATTTATAACAGTGGGTACCATACCGTTTTATTCTACTCTCAAATGCATTTTCTTAGAAGGTGAATCCATCAAGATTTCAGTTTCCACTGTCCCTCTTTGCAGTTTCTAACCTGAAAAATGTTGACCCCAGCAAGTTCCCTATGAGGTATTGCTACTGTTTAAACAACATGACAAATGACTTAACAGGTGGGTGTAAAAGCAGTGTGACTGAGAGCGGGCTGGCGGTTGAGTGTGTTTAAGCCAAATTGTTTCCATTTGAGCTGCAGGTTCTCAGCCCCAGTCCTGCAACTTTCTTCATGAGAGAGTTGTAGTCACATTGAAGTCAAAAGCCATGGTAAGTGGCTAGTTTGAAGCACTGGAGAGACTCAGTGAACTGAGCACCAGAAGACTGCTCCCTGGCAGCCCTGGGATGAAGCTATCAGCCAAGCAGACAAGATGAGTTGCCACTGGGGGAAAAAACCCTGCATTTCTTCATAGGGAAAGGAGGGGAAAGACAGCCCCTTTAGAGCCTCCCAGCAATAGTTGATATCCGTGGGTTCAATTTTATAGTACAATTTAGCTTCTCTAGCTGCTCTCAGCTCCCTGGAGATGTCCAGGGGTTCCTCCAGACCAAGCCTGCAGAAACCCCTCTAAGCCCAGAGTGGGGGAAGGAGGAAAAGAAGACTGGGGTCTATATAGGGCAGTTTAGTGGGGTGAGGAGCTCCATTGCACAAATTCCCCCCACCCCCTCTGAGCACTGTTCAAATTCCAGAATGTGTGTGAGGCCACTTCTTCCCATTTTGTGCACCTGGCCATTTCCCAGCGCTGGTGACTTGGCATCCAGCTGTTTTACAGAGTCATATGGTGCTTCCGTGCCCCTTGTTCTTGCACCAACCTGGGCATGGCTCTGGGCCGGTACAGTGTCCCAGCTGTGACACATGAAAAGGATATTCCATAATCCTGGTTATTTCTCCTACTTTGGGGGGCTAGAACTCATGTCTGCACATATGTGTGTGCAGCACCTAGCACAATGGGATTCCTGTGCCCCACTTGGGAACTCTGGGCACTACCATAATTAGGATTATTTATTTGTTACTTGTATTGTGATAGCCCATAAGAGCACCCCTCATGGACCAGGGGCACATCGTGCTAGGCATGGTACAAATATGAAACAAAACTGCTCCTATGGGTTGGCAAGCAAAGTAATAAAAGGTTTGGAAGATAAAAAGACAGAAGTTAGGGGAAAGAGAATAACACTAAGCAATTTGTCTACAAATTAAAGGCCACGGGGGCTAAGCTTACCTTTGTGGCCTGTATTCCTTTCTCTTGCTGATTTCCTAAGCCAAGTTACACAAGTTCGCTGTAATATAAATGCCATGTACTGAAAAGCTGCTAAAATTGATACCACAGTGTTGGCTCTAAAAGTGATTTTCTCTTCAGTGTAGAGGGCCAGTGAAGGCCTTGGCATCACGTAAGTCTTATTTTGGGAGTTTATGTAGCACCTAAGTGGGATTTCAGTGGCACATAGGCCATGTACACATAAGGGAAGGTTTCCCTGTATGCAGTATTTAACCTCTCTGTTATATTTCAGAGCATTCCTACTGATAAGCATTTGAGTCCCAGGTCAGCAAAGTATTTAAGTTTGTACTTAAATCCATCCCTATTCAGCAAAGCACTTAAGCCCATGCTTAACTTTAAGCCCATTCTTAATTACCACTGAAATCAAAGGCAAAGCACGTGCCTAAAAGTGAAGCACATACGTAAGTGCTTTGCTGAACAGGGATGGGCTACTGAACTGGGGCCTCGGATTGTAAACCTGCTCTGTTTTGTCTTCTAGATTTTACAGCTTTACTTGTTGATATTATTGGAAACTCCACCAGTTACCTCACAGAAATTTTCAAATCAACCTCCATTGTCTCAGGTGTGCATTTCTTTTTATCATTGTCCTGTTCACTCCTGGAACATAGAAAGGGCATGTTATGAACACTAAGGTGGTAGCTATCCGCACTGCTTCACCAGCAGTATTGACCTCACAGAATAGGGGCTGCAACTGTAAACCATCACCTTGAGAAAATATTTTTATTAAAACTCTGTTTCATAATGTAATGAATTATTGTCAGCATCTTTGTAACATATGACCAACAATGTAAAGGGATTAATTTAGGGCTGGATTAAGGTTCCCTTAGTCAACTTTAGTATCACATTCCACAAATAGTCCTTCAAACTTTCTCCACAAGTACTTATTGACTTCAGTGGGACAGGGGATGGCAATGTTGCCTAGTGCATAGAGCGCTGGACTGTGATTCCAAAGACATTGCTTCTAGTCCCAGCTCCGCCACTGACCGGCTGGGTGATCTTGAGCAAGTCACTTCTTCTCTGTGTGCCTCAGTTTCCCTATCTGTAGACTGGTGCTTTGATATGCCTTTATAGGTGCATTGAGATCTACTGATTATAAGTCCTGGATATTATTTATTATTATCCTTATTATTATTATCTCCTGGAGTAAGGTACTATTCAACTTGAGTATATGTATCAGAATCTGGACCAAAATGTGGGACTAACTTTTCCTGAATATTTTTAGGGGATAAATATCCATTTGAAAATTATTTGATTTGGTTATTACCCTTAAAATCCTGTCAATTGCCTTATATAACTCAGGGTCAGATTCTGATACCTTTCCTTACATCTGGGAGCAACTTACTCCACAAGGAATCCCACTGACTTTAGAGACTGCTCATCTGAGCTACTGCACATCAACTTGACTAAGGACTGCATAATCAAACCATAAATAATATTACCTTAAAATTGCAGAATTTCCTAACTATATTGACAGACAGATTAATAGGAAGACTTCACATTCTGAGGTGCAGTTAATTGGTAATCTTGTAAAAACAACTGTTGATATATTATTTGCTATTTAAAAAACTGTACATTTGGGAGTGAACCAGACTTAAGACAGGACTCTTCCAACCTAGGCTCCTCTTATACTGGTGAGTAGCTCTTAGAACTGGTTTGAAATGGGGATTTTTTTCATGGAAAATTTGGACAAAAAAGGGAAAAAATCATATTTGGTCTATTTTTTGGAGGAAATTTGAATATTGAAAAATTTCATCCAGAAACCAAAATACTTCAGCTGAAAACAAAAATATTTTCATTTGGAAATGCTATCACAATGCCTCATGGTAGTTCAGATGTCTTATGTTCCCATTGTCCTGCATAAGGTGGACTCCCTAGTTGGATTACATCTTCCGTGAGGTACCACCATCTCCCCTCTTGGACAACAGAGGCAATGCATCATGGGAATCCCTGCATATGGTGCATCATGGGAGATGTAGTTCACAAGGAGGAGTCTAGCTCATAGAGGAGACAAGGAACATGAGGCACCTACACTACAGTTCCTACGAGACACCACAGAGGCATATTCAAATAAAAATATTTCACTTTTCAACTGAAATATCTTGCTTCTTTGAAGAAAATTGGAATTTTCTATGGACAGCAGACACTTGTGAAAAATTTAATTTAGTCAAAAACTGAATTTTCTGTCAAAAAACAAGTTTGGATTGGGATTTTTCAACCAGCTCTAGTAGTCACCCCTACTAGGTGGATTTTGACGCTATGAGTTCAACTCCTTTAAAGTACACTAATAAAAAGCATTTGATCTACATTTGTTTTCCTTTCAGTGAGTCAGAGCAATGATTCAGACTGTATCTATATCTGCGTGATGGCAGGCCGAACAGGTAAATGTAGAACTTATCCCTTCCGAGACTATAACCCTTACACTTACAGCACTGATTGATTCAAGAATCTACTACTTTAATCCGCTTTGTTATTTCTGTGCATGTGTTTTTGCAGGCAGAAATATGTCTGACTTTTGGGAAATGATAGAGAAATCTCCTGTTATTAATTACACATTTTCCAGTAATATGTCTGCGCTCCTGGGTAAGTACATCCTGAAGGAAGAAATGAATAACAACAAGTTTTCGTGTTACCACTGCAATGAATGAAGAGATTTACTTGTCTGTTTATCCTACACATTAACCACAGGAAACTGTGTATGAGTTAAATGCAACACTGGCACATCACCAAATGTAGGGTCAGATTCTTCATCCATTGAAGGCAAAACTTTTATTGATTTCAGTGGATGAAGTGTCTGGCCCAGGGCTGGATTTACACCTTACAAGCCCCTAGGCACAGCATCTTCAGAGCCCCCCCTGCCTACAGCTGACCTTTGTGTTCCACACAGTTTTAGAAAGGTAAGGCCTCCCTAGAACACCGGCGCCCCTAGGCACGTGCCTATTGTGCCTAATTGGAAATCCAGCCCTGGTCTGACCTTTATGACCTAATCCAAAACTCATTGAAGTCAATGGGGGCTTGTCTACACTACCCGCCAGATCGGGTCTATACTAGATGCGATAAATCGACCGCTTAACGCTCTCCCGTTGACTCCGGTACTCCACCAGAATGAGGAGCATAAGTGGAGTCGACGGGAGAGTGTCCGCTGTCGACTTACCACAGTGAAGACACCGCGGTAAGTAGATCTAAGTACGTCGATTTCAGCTACGCTATTCATGTAGCTGAAGTTGCGTATCTTAGATCGACCCCGCGCAGTAGTGTAGACAAGCCCTGGGAATCTTCCAATTGACTTCAATGGGCTTTCAATCAGGCCCTTAAGTGGGGATAGGTATTGAGCATACCCATAGCCCTTTGACTTCCTTGGGGATTGTAGATGTTCAAAACCTTATAGGATTTGATTCAACAGCACTACTATGGCCTTGAATTTGCTCTCAGAAAGCACAAATAATTAATAGAAAATAATAAGAAGTTTGATTAGATGTTCATCTAATGCTTTATCCTTTGAGTGTGGTCTTAAGTGCCTGGTGTAAGATTTAGGAAGTGTCTGTGGTTTGCTTACTGAGAGAAAAGAAGCCAGAGATATATATTTCTAATTTGGATACAAAAGCATAGTCATTTAGGGGAAAGGTGTTGCATTTACCCCAGTTGGAGATATGGTGGGGAATTTGCACATCTCTTTGAAAGGTGGGAGATAATGGAGAGGTGTCTAGTGGATGCGTGACATGCTGGTACCATGTTTAGGGGCAGAAAAGGAGAGTCTTTTCTTTATGCACCACATGAGTGTGGTGTGAGAGGTAGGTGTAGTCATGACCCCATGAGCTGTGGCTTCTCCAGATGTTTGGAGGGACTAAGATATGGATGGGAGGTGAGGGAGCTAGCATTCTATCTAGCAGTGAACTTGTCAGTCACTGCAGCCCAGTCTCTTCCTATAGAGATGAATGGATGATATTTGGTATCTAGTATAGTCTGTAAGGTTTGTAAGACACTTGTGTTCATTCCATAGATACGCATCTGGGAAAGTAAATCTAGGTGAATGTCCCCGAAATAACAAACACTTGTATGAAAATAGGATCTCCAGAGCTAGGAACTGTCAGTACCAAAACCACACTAAATCTACTGCACTTGATTTAAAGGACTAACTCCATTAACTCTCAGCAGTAATAAGCTCTTATCTTCTATGTGAGCTAGCCACTAGAGGGGGATAAGACACACTTGGCCAGTTGCTACAGTAACACCTGTTGTAGTAACCTAAACTGCATGGTAGATTGAGCTACACCTAAAATAACAAATGGAGATATCCTAGAACTGGAAGGGACCCCAGAAGGTCATGAAGTCCAGTGCCCTGCCTTCACTAGCAGGACCAAATACTGATTTGGCCCCAGATCCCTAAGTGGCCCCCTCAAGGATTGAACTCACAATCCTGGGTTTAGCAGGCTAATGCTCAAACAACTGAGCTATCCCTCCCCCCAAAGCATTGGCCTCACGCTTCCACTGGTGAATTGATCTTCTGCTCAATATGAACATCACAAATATTATAAGTGAAGTCAATGAGAATTTTACCTGTGCATGATTAAGTCCAAGAGAATTATTTCTCCTATTTAAGAAAACAGTAAAAACATATAGACGTTTTGCCCAATAGCTACTTTTCTTTCAAAGACAATGGTTGTTTCTCTTACACCAGAACTAGATCTAAACCCGTGTGTTTGATTTACATATCCAAATGCTATCAAATTTGTTTTAGATTATGAGCATGATAGGATACGACTAACTCTAACTTTTACTAACTAAAAGATATAGACTCAATTCTTCCCAGCTTAATGACCTTACGAGAAGACCCTGACAAGATCATGGACGAGCTCCCTGAAGACATTTGGACATTTAAAAGTACGCAAGTATCCTCAGAGCTAAATATTGAATCTCCTGGGCAGACTAGTTGAAATGCATTTATGTCTCTTATTTGGTTCGCACCACTGTGTGCTCGGTGCAGGACAAAATCTAGAGGAAGGCACAGCCTTTTCCTAAAGCACAAGATATGTAAACTGGAGAAACATTACACATCAGGCTAATAGTGTCTGATTGGGGATTCGAAGTTCTGTGCACAGAGTGGCCCAAAGTTTTTTTTAAAATAACTTCATTGTTCACAGAAGAAGTGTCTTAAGGAGGGATGTGAATTAAGGAAATGTGGTTGCAGGGCATGTGAGATGGAGGAGACTGTTCAAGATGCTTCCCAAATCTCACTAATTCTGCCCATAAACCCCTCCTTCCCACCAGTCTGTCTCCTCTTTCTCTATCTAGCTATTGAAGGTACATACATGGCCTCCGTTACTGTAGTAGCTCACAGTCTTCAATGTATTTATCCTCAAAATACCTTGTGAGGAGGGAAGAGCTAGTTATCCCCATTTTACAAATAGGGAATGAATGCACAGAGAGGCTAAGTGACTTCCCAAGGAGATGCAGGAGGTCTGTGGCAAAGCAGGGATTTGAAATACATCTGCCAAGTCTTAGGCCAGGGCCCAAGCTACTGGACCATCTTTTCTCTCCCAGCTATCTCTAAATATTCATCTTTTTCCTTCTCACAGACACTTTTCTCTTTATCCCCAAACCCTTTCCCTTTCCATTGAGCTGTCTCTCAAGCCTCTCACACCAAACCTTCACTGTCTTTCACATTCCCAGTCTCAACTCCCTCCACCCAATTTCCCCAATCCTTCTCAAATCCCAGTTTCTGCCCCCCACCACTCCCACCAAACTCATCCCTCTTCTTTTTCCCCACATGCCCTTCACACAATTCCCCCTCCTTAACCCTCACCTCTTAGCTCAGAAGTAGAGCTGGTTAGGAAACAGTAGAATTATTTTCTAGGGGAAAAAATTAAAAAATAACATTTAATTCCCCCCTCCCTTTTTTTTTTTACAATAAACAGAAAACTTTTCAGTAAAATGTTTGTTTTTTGAAAACTTTTTTGGTTTTTTTTTTCCACTCAGAAAACAGAAAATGTTGAATGAAGTGAAATTATACCATGCATCCATCTCTCCCCTGGCCTCACTAATGAGGTTGAGTAGTTGCCATTCAACGTGTACTAGGAATCAACAGGTTTTACCATATGTACTGTAGCCATGACTGTTCCCCAAAGTGTTATGCTCGCCATTTTCTGGATGTTTTGGCATTGGCTGTGCTGCAGTAGAAGTGTACATCCATGTGCCATCAGATAACAACAGCCTTCCTGCTCCTTTATGGCTTTAGCGACAAGGATGCCTTCCTGGGAACAGACTGTTGCATGGAAAGGAGATGAAATCCTCTCTACAAGATTTCCCACATGGCCAAAGACTATTGGTTTGAAAGGATCTGGATTTCCAATTCTACAGCTGCCCTTGTGGTTACAGACAGATGCTTCAAAAGGACATGGCACTACAAGGCCGCCTCCTACTACCATGGAAAGCTATGATATTTTACCCCAAATGCAGCCATCAAGTGAGTTCAGAGAATGGTCTGCTGTGATCAGATGCCTGGGAACATAAGGGGCTTTCACTCCCTCAGTAGGCTATGTCCTTTGCTTATACATCTTCAGTGAGGCTTAGAGGCCAAATCCTGCTCATGTGATCACTCAGCTTGTCCTCCCTGCCTGTGTAGGGAGCGCATTGGAGCAGCAGCTGTGGAGTGACTCTTCAGGCACTCTGTAGCCCGGGGAAATGATTCTTTCTTGGCCCAACTTCCTACCCTCTGCAGAGCTACTCAGGGGCTGTGTGCTGGAAGGAGAATGTGGGCTTAACAGGATGGGGAAGGGAGAGAAAAACAGCTCCTGTTAGATCCAGCCATGGATTTTCTGTGGCCCCCAATCCACTGAAATGTTACTTCCTGAGGAAAAGCATCAGGCTTGAGCTCGCTGCCATCTTGAGGAAACAGTCCTCAAATTCAACAAATTACATCAGCCCCCGCCGATCCCTGTCATTTTCAGGGAGCAGTGTCCCAGGGGTGCAAAGAACAATAGAAACTCTTCTTCTGACCCTCCAGACATTAAACACCCCAACCTCTACCCGAAAACCTGAGCATAAGAAGGGAAGAGAAGCGAGTTAGGTTGGTGGTACCTCAAAAGGCCAAACGAGAGCTAGTGTGTGCATATAAGGGCACAGCTTGCCCACCCAGAGATCAAAGCTCCCACAAACATCATCAGCAGCCAGCACATGTAACTTTTTGCTTCCGTACGTGTCAAAGTTGAAAGATTTCAAGTCAGATGAGGAAAGAGCTTGGGCCATGATTTTCAAAAGTGACAAGTGATTTTTCATGGAGATGGTTTGATTTCGATTAAATTGTGGCAGAATTGGCACACACATGCCTGGTTTCCTGCCAGTTTTCCCTTCCTGCTCTTTGGCAGCCCACCCAGGGGTCTATTAGGGAACTGAGAGCCTAGAAGCCATGACTCCTAAGCACTGTGGCTCCCAGCCCAATTGGGGACAGAGGGCTTCCAAGGTCAGGCACTCTTGGGCAGCCCATCATGCAGGCTCCCCATGAACCAGAGCCCCAGGGCTTCCAAGGTCCCTTGGTGGACTGCCCTGGAGCTGGGGCACCGTTCTCTTTCACAGAGAATTTCTAAACTTTGGGTTTTCATTCCAAATTGGAACAAAAACTAATTCTGAAATATGAAGCGCCTCCACGAAATGGAATGACCTCTCTCCATGCAGCTCCAGTCTCAAGTTGGACACGCAAAAATCACTTGATGTTTTTGAAAATCTAGTCCATAATTCTTTCCCATAGACATATATTATGTAACTCGTATTGAATTAGCTCTGAAATCTGGCTGGACAGTTTAATATACGTTCTTTGTTTCTGCAGCGGGTACCTCTTCACCAGTGCCCTCCATCTCTGCTGAACAAATGCAGGATTTGCCGAAAGTTCTTCCTCTTTCTAGTGAGGAGATTTCATCATTGTAGGGGAGCTACGTAAAATTATTAGGACTGTCCTACAGCAGCTACTTACCCAGCCAAGGCCTCCATGCTCCTGACTTTTTCTTCAGCCTTCTTCACTCCACGCGAGCCACTTAGCTATCAGCCACTTTCTGTTCTTCTCATGCCCGGGCCTTCTGCCACGGTGGCTTGTATGCCTAGAAAGTCCTCTCTGACATGCTCCCGGCCTTTTTAATTATGCTAGGGGGCATATTGTAAATCCATGTCTACCCTCACCTAATTAGTGACCTGCCAAAACCGTGGGACTAACAATATGCATGTTGAACTTCACCTTTCATCATCTCCCCATATTTTATATGCCATCTAGTTCAAGGAGTCCTGTGTCTTTATCTGCCTATAGCACACCAAGCATGCTGTTGGCATTATACAGGTAAGAAATCATAACAATTAAAATGATATTGAAACATGTTTGGTTTTGTTCCCATAGCTGAAATGTATCCATTCTGGACACAGCCAGCTTCTCCTGAAGTAACCAAAGTATCTATCCAAACGGAGTCGGGTAAGTTTATTTCTTATGTACAAGACTGAGGTTGTTTTGAGATAACCTGTAAAGAATGCTGCCTGGTACATTTATGATAGAGGAATTAATTAATTTGTCCCTGTATGTGGGCTCATACATACACACATATATAAACAGATGATTTGTCAAATGTGTAATTCTATGTGGTCTATTGATCCTTTACTGAACCTGCCATATGTTTCTATTAAAATGCCAGGGCCTGATATATTCTTTTCCTCCCTTCATTTATAACAGATCTGCCTTCATTATTGTTGTCTACCCCTGTATACAAGCCTGAAGTGTTACCAAAACTGCATACAGCTTCCAGTAAGTACCTGCTCTCTGCAGCAAAAAATGGGGGTATTGACAATATACACTTGCTCAGATTTCCTCATGTGAAAAAGGCAGGTGTGTTTTAAATATGTGATAGTATGTCATATTTTGATGTTACATATATTTGTGTGCTCCCATATATAAAAGGGGCCACTTTCACTTTGGTTCCATTTGTGAGTCATGTAACTCTAATATATAAAACATGTTACTAAAAAGGCATTCACCTATGTGTTACATGTGTTGGTTTTAACTTTGGGGAGAATCTGAAAACTCCCTTATCCAAAAGAAAATAGCATGCTTCAAATACTCCTACTAATAAAAGTCAATCGCTGTTGCTTTACACAAGACATGTAATCTAGAGAAAGAAAATCAAGACTGTTTACCAGTCTGGCAGTCCCTAAGCCTCAGGATGAGGCCAACCACCTTCGGTGATATAAATATCAGCACATCAAGGATACCCGTCAGGGGCTAGATTTTCACAAGACCTCAGCACATTAGGTGCAGCTTTGGTATGTAGCTGGGGCCACAAGTATCACAATGGGTGCTGAGTACTTTTGAAAATCTGGGCCCTATTTAGATGCCTAGAAGGAGCTCTCTTGAAAAATCTGGGCCCAACTGTGGGTGCTGAACCCATGAACATCTGGCCCTGAACTCTTTTGGAAATTAGCCTCAAGTCATCTAGTCCAGAGTTGACAATTGGAAGACATAGTAGCTTAGAAGTAGACTTAGGCTAAATCTGCATAGCAAATCAAGTTAAAGCTTTAAACATGATTCAGGGAGCAGAAGGAAACTTCTGCTTTTAAACACAACGGCAGCCAGAAATATAGGAAATCTGACGGATGTTTGCCAGTGCTTATCATAGGACATGAATAAACTTGGTGAGGACAGCTCTATCCATTATACTGTATGCTTAAGATAGGAAGAAACATGTCTAGTGTGACTGCTGAAGTGGAAAAGTAAATGGCCACACCTTGCCATCCTTTTTTAAGCACAACTCCCATTGACTTCAGTAAGAGTGTGATGCATGGGTATGACTCTTAGAATAGAAACATAAACTCATAAACATAAAGACGTAAGCCAACATCCCATTCCATTTCAATTAACCCACACTCCAAACGCCATCCTGTCTTCCAACCACACAACTATTTAGGTAGGGGTGTGTGGATCCACACTTTCCCCAAGTTCAGGAGTGAGGCTTTATCTGGGGTTTTATCTAGTTCATTTTAGAGCCAGCCCCAAGCTGAGAAATTCAGAGCTGAATTTGAGCTCTCTCAACGTTCAGGAGGTGATTGGATCATGGGTTGTATTTCTGGCTCATCACTGCCTTGGTTGCAAATGATTCATGGAAGAAATACAGGCGATGAAAACAAGGCCAAAGGAAATGTTATTGATAGTGTACAAAAATAATTAATGCCGCATTTTGAAGCTTCATGCCCTGCTGCAGTTCTTGTCCCTGCTGGTTCCACATTTAGGCCTCAGTATGTATAGCTACATACTCCTACTTGAGTCTTCTGGCTGCGGTGAGCCATACGGAAGCTAAGGGAAACCAAACTCTAAAGATGGTTTCCCCAGCTGCAGTCAGTGACTGGCAAAACTCAAAGGGTTATTGAGGTTTGGGCTGGAGAAGAACTCAAGCATTTAGAATAATCTTACCTTGATCCATGGGGGTGCCTCATATGGCAGAAGAGTGGAATTTGGTGGTTTGAGGGTTTTTAATCTTGATTTTCACTTGATCTTAATTCCTTCCCTGGACTGGAATGTGAATACCTCATTTTAAGATTGTATGTTGATTTAGGCTAAACATTTTCAGAGCCACTTAAGCCACTAAAGTTAATGGGAATTTGGCATCCAAGTCCTACAGGCAGCTTTGAAAAACTGAGCCTTAATCTCACTTTATTTGACTCATATAAGCTATCTTTTGAGAGCAGCCACTGAACTCAGTTCTCCAATGATACCTGTTTTTATAATGTGACTTTCAATCTGGAGCACCCCAGAGTGCCTTTTCAAAGGGCTCACTTCAGCCACCTCTCGGGTGGAACATGAAAGCTGTTTAACAGTGCACAGCAATGCTGCACAACAATGTAGGACAAGTTGTGAAAAAGAAAAGCATGTGTGACTGGAACAGTGGAAGGAATTTAATTAAGCATGTAAATTTCCCAGTTAGAATCTAGCCAGGACCCCAGTGACTCATTCAGAAAGTGCCATGGGATATTTGATGACCATGAGTATTCAAGACCTTGATTCTACTGTTCATCATACAGCAGTGCAGCACAGTGCCCCCAGACTGGTGCTAGCACCTTTGGCTAGTTAGTAATGCAGAGAAAAGAATGTGACCTACTGAATCATCAAACCACGTACCACACCACCAAGTTAGTCTCCTGACAACTGCTGACCCGTCCCTATTTAGCTTGGTGCAATATGACCTGGTCCTGACACTTTAGTCAGGCACGTAACTCTCTAAGTGCGTCTTAGTATATTTTGTTCATTTGTTTTTTACCTGTATGGGAGTTTGAAGCCAGTGTTCTTTGCTCTCAGCCATTTTTTCTGGTTTTTCCCAAATGCTTGGTGCAATATGACCTGGTCCTGGCACAAGGTAGAATGGCTGCTGACGTTTTGCTGGTGCTTAATAGATTTTGAATGTTTTTTTTCCCTCTCCCACTTGATTCACACCAATTTCCTGCCTAGTTACCAGCAAATTCCAGAAAGGTTACTTCTCTTTTCATTATTCATACTCATTTAATTCTCATTCTCATTTTTGAGAATAGCTCATAATGACTGTCATGGACCTTCTCCCAATCAGGCAACGCATCTCTCAGTCTGAAGACTGCCACCACAAAGCACACATCCACCTCTCCTCTCCACATGTATCTCTGCTTCCCACTGCCCCCTGCCTACTTTCAGTCTGCCCACCCTACTCTCCTTCCTCTCTATGCCCAGCGTGGCCACCACCCCACTCTCTGACTCCCTACTAGTCTTTCTCCCTTTGGTCTCCAGCAGCCGAATACTTCTCGTTGTGACCTACCCTGTCATGCTGGTACTCTTTACCCTGTGATCATCCACAGGTAACCCCCTGTCATCCCTCTCAGCTGCTGCGGATAGCTGCTCCATTCCTGAATTGCCATGGTCAAAAGCCAGAAATGATGGGCTGAGTGTACTTTCATTCTTCCCGCCCCCATGTTAATATGTGAACTGCTTTTCCATGACATGACATTCACTCATCCTGTCTGCTAATTAAAGCCGGTTAGGGTGATGTGATGCAAATTTATCCCATGTTCTTTATATTTCAAAGCACTCAATGAACCAGACTCTGATCTCTTCCTGTCCTATTTTGCTCCGCTTTGTGTTTTGTTCTTCAGTTATAAAGTGCTCCTGAGAAAGGAAATTCGGTGGATCCCATGAGGCTAATTCATGTGATCAAAATGAAATGATTTCTGTGTTCCCACAGAAAAGCCGGGCTGTCAGGCATGGCGGCAGCGTTTCTGCTTTGAGCCAGACCTTTTCTGTTTCGAAGGGTGATATTAACTTCCGAGCGCTGCTGGGCCTGAGGAGTTAAAGCAGATGTTCCATGGTTCCTGATGATAAATGTAATTTTATTGTATGGGAGGGCAAGGTAGGGCAAAGAACAACCAACCCAGCATTCGGAAGTGAAATAAGTGGTGGGAATGGGGCATCAGGCAACTGGCACATGAAAGCTCAAGGGTTTCTCAAAGCCACTTTCTGTAAATGGAATCCAAAGAGGCTTTCTGCAGACAGGAGTGATTCCACAGAATGTGGGTTGTGGTGTAATGAAGTTTGAGAACCGCTGTATAATGAAGAGCTATCTCCTACACTCTGTATACAGCATTAGAAAGTAAAAGTATACAGTAAAATTCCTGTATCCATCATTTGGGGAAGGAGGTGGGAAATGAGGTGAGTGAGTGGGAAACATGTCCAGCTAATCTGTGTGTTGTAACCATTTCCATAAACAGTAATTGAGGGGTTCTCTGATGAAGACCCATGGGTGGGTTTGAGCACATAGGAAATTGAATATCTCTGTGGTGTGGATAAATAGGTACCAATAAAGAGGTACCAATACAGTTCCAAAGGAGATAGGGGAGGGACACTTTGTGGAGGACTTTGTGATAGATTAATTGGAAGCATATGGAAAAATAAAACACAATGTTTTGACATTGTCAAAGAAAATCGTAGTAGCTTGAAATGGGTTTTTAATAAATCTGAATAGCACAGAACTTCCTGTGATAACTGCTTGGTCAAAATAGGAGCAGCAATATGAAGAACTAACGATGTGGGCTGCAATTAGTTTTTTAAGGCAAACACTGCTTCCTTGTGGTCCTTTTGTGCTAATGGAGCTGCCTGAGAGATGGAACTGGCACGTTGCATTCCCTATGCCAATGTCTCCTAAGCAGCATGCTCAGGGAAGGTAGAGAGGTTTTTTTTTCAGCAACCCCTGGGTTTTTCATGCAGAGACTTGGAAACAAAACCTTGGTTCAGATTTACTTGGCAGTCTAACAATGATATTTCTGATTCAGGAAAGCTCTTGCGCATACCAACTCATACTGTCTTCGGCCGTCTGGTTATTGATTCACAACGAGCCCTTATCTAAATGTGGGCGTGTGCATGTATGTCGTGCAGCTGCTACTGCAAACATCCAATTTTCTTTAGTCAGGCACGATCACACTTCTTGGGAGTGTTAACTCTCTAAGTGCGTCTCAGTATATTTTGTTCATTTGTTTTTTACCTGTATGGGAGTTTGGAGCCAGTGTTCTTTGCTCTCAGCCATCTTTTGTGTTTTTTTCCCAAATGCTTGGGCACTGTACTTGCACTTTTCTTATTTTAATAGTACTCTCTCACCTGGTCTACACTACATGGTTAGGTTGACACAAGGCAGCTTATGTCGACCTAGCTGTCTATGTGTCTTCACTTAAATTTGGCTCCCGTCGATGTAAGTGTCCTGCTACGCCGACTTAATAACACCTGAGCGGCAGACAGCCAGG